ACTACTACTACTACTACTACTACTACTACTACTACTACTAACTACGACTACGACTACTACTACTACTACTACTACTACTACTACTACTACTACTACTACTACTACTACTACTACTACTACTACTACTACTACTACTACTACTACTACTACTACTACTACTACTACTACTACTACTACTACTACTACTACTACTACTACTACTACTACTACTACTACTACTACTACTACTACGACTACTACTACGACTACGACTACTACTGCCATTCCCACCACTACTGCAACAACCAGGACGAGCTGCACGAGCGGGCACGCCCTTGTTCTCCGCCCCTCGCGGCGCCCGCCCTCGCGGAGGCCGCCGCGGCGGGGGCCCCCCGGTCGGCAGCGGCACGAGGCCTCGCCGCCTTGAGCCCCGGCTCGTGGCCGGGCAGAAGAGCACGGCGCCACGCCCCCCCGCCTTGCCTTATTTCGGGCGTGTCCCCCTACAGGGGGACCTTCGACGAGAAACAAAAATACCCCAAAAATGCACCAAAAAGGTCAAAATTTGCGCAGAAAAGTATCCCCAAACTATTTTTGGAGTACATTTTTAGTATTTTTAGGGTATTTTTCATTCTTCGTCGAAAATCCCCCTGTAGGGGGACAGGCCCGACGTAAGCCTTGCCCTCCGCGCCCTCCCCTCCCGTCCACGAGAGACCCGACGCTCCGAAACCACAAAAGGCCAGAGCGTCCGGGTTGGGGCCGTCTTCGGCCTCCGGGGGCCCTCGCCTGGCCTCGGGGCCGTCCTGAGAAGCCTCCGGCCGAAGCACTGGCCCCGAAGTGGTCCAAAAACCTCCGGGGCCCACGGATCGAGGCAACTGGAGCGCGGGCGGATGTCCGGGGTATGTACGTATCCTCTCCTCCCGCCGTCAACCCTCCTCCCGCGCTCCCGTCCCCCCTCTCCACAACCACGCACTGTGAATGCGCATCCATCGGTCGGAAGAAGTAGGTAGCAACATGAAGCAGGGAGGCGTTGAACACAGATTGGGCGGCCGCCAGCCCCCGAAAGAGCACGGAACAGGTTCAGCCACTCGATCATTGAGGTGGAAGGCGCTTGAAGTAGTCTGGAGTCTGGAAAATCGAAGATACCTGCGCTCAACGGCCGATGGGTACTCCTCTCCTCTTGAGCAGGGACCTACCGTCCCGGCATTCCTATAGTCCTACCACGAAATGTTCTCAGAACGAACACACACAATGTTCTCAGAACATAAGCCCGACGTGTTTAAACAAAACAACCTCAGCCAGAAATGTTCTAAGAACAACTCGTGGAAACCACAACCGGTTCTTAGAACATTGCTTGGCAGGGCTATACAGGCGAGCCAGGACGCTTCGCCACTGCTTCAGGTGCTTCCCTCCCGAGGGCCGGGACGCCGCCCCTCTGCGCCCCTCTGCGCCCTGCTTCCTGCGCACGCCGGCTTCCGAGCGCTGCTCCTTGGCCCCGCTGGGCATCGCTCGGACGTCCACACCCTGTGTTTTTTGTTCGGTTTCGTGCGTGGCTTCTTCGCCAAATCGTCAAGGATGCTCCTCGATGGTCCTCGCCGAGGGAAACATGCACACCTCCGAGCGATGGCCAGCCCATGGCTCCTTCGCCGTGGAGCGCCGTCGGCGTCTCGCGCTGGTGCTGCCGCTGCCGCCGTGGGCCTCGCCTCGGGATCGGCGCGCTGCTCCTGTCGTTCCGAGCGGCGCCCTCGCCCTCGCCCTCGCCCTCCTCCTCCTCCTCCTCCTCCTCCTCCTCCTCCTCCTCCTCCTCCTCCTCCTCCTCCCTCCTCCCCCCCCTCCTCCTCCTCCTCCTCCTCCTCCTCCTCCTCCTCCTCCTCCTCCTCCTCCTCCTCCTCCTCCTCTTCGTCCTCCTCCCCCTCCTCCTCCTCCTCCTCTTCGTCCTCCTCCTCCTCCTCCTCACGCGGCCAGGCGTTTTTTCTGGCTGCGGGTCTCTTCTTCGTCGCTGTCGCCCACGGCCTTCGTCGTCCCCCGGTGTTCCTGCTCCTCCCGCTTCTCCTGCTCCAGCGCGAGCTTGCTGCCGCTCGTCCTCGCCCTCCCCCCCTCCTCCTTCTCCTCGATTTTCCCTCCTGCTCATCCGCCACCTCCTGTTCCTCCAGTGCACGCAGAACCCTTTTTTCTCCGATCGCGCATGTGACCATAGAGGTCCCCTTGGAATTCCAGGCCCGCGAAGACACACGTCCGCGGGCGTAGAAGAAATCAGCGCGATGGGAAGGCATGGGTGTGAGGGGTGGGATGTCGGATGTGGCGCGAGCGCGCCGAGCTTGCCCCATCCCACCCCTCCCTCATTCACTCCCTCCCCCCTTCTCCGTCGTCGCCTCGTTGCCACGCCGTGCCATCCCCTGTCAGAACACTCCGCCGCCGCGTCGCTGCACGACGAAGACGCGCAGGCTTCCGACAGGCCTCCCACGAAAGCTTCCAGCAGGTATCCAAGAGGCCACTGACCTATAACCTCGGCGGGGTCGGGGGATGGGCCGCAGGCCTTCAGACGTGGTTACAAATCAGAATGCACACAATCCCTCGCCCTAGTGAACTAAAAAGACCTTTAGCATCCCCGAGCCGTCCCCTCAGCCCCTGGGTGCCCTGGGACACGTCAAAATACCATGGTGCAGCACTCCAGGACATGACCCCCCTGCAGGATATCGCGGACCTGTACTCGCACTGTCGTCTGCGGCTGCGTGCTGCTGGTTGTGGCTGACCGTTCCTGTGATAATGGCTGCGGTTGTTTGCCACCGCGCTCCTGCTGCTGCTGCTCCTCCTCCTCCTCCTCCTCGTCCTCCTCCTCCTCCTCCTCCTCCTCCTCCTCCTGCTTGCTGCTGCTGACTGCAAGTTGGACATCTATTCGCGCCTCCGTTCGCCCCTCCTGGGGCCCCTCGCGATGTTCTTCGGCCCTCGCCAGGTCGGTTGCGTCTAATGCCGGAGGCGTCGGAACCGCTGCGAACCCCTCTGCGGCTGTTTTGGCAAACCTCTGGGGACGTCTCGGATGCTCACACGGAAGCCTCTTGGGCCGTCCTGGGGTGCCTTGGTGCAAGGTTGGGGTTCTCTTGGGCTGCCTAGGTGCAGCACTGTGGTAACTTGATCGGGCTCCTCGGAAGGCCCTCTTCTTGAGCCACCTCGCGGGCCTCTTGGGACCTCGCTGTGCTTGTCTGGGCTGGGGTTGGAGCTCTCGTGGGGCATCCCTTGGAAACCTTCGTGGAACATTCTCGCGAGGGTGAACACGCGTAACAAGTTGAACAACCAAACGCGTTCTGACAAATTTGGCTGCCTGTGGTCTCTCGTGGAGCATCTCTGGGCATCTCGTGCTGTCATGTCTGGGCGTTCTGGGGCCTCTTGGGCCAGATTCGAATCTCGACGAGACTTCCTGTGCCATCTTGGCTGCCTCCTGGATCCCTTTTGAGCCGCCTGGGCTCCGTCGTGAAGGGCTCCTTCGCCGTATTGGAGACCTCTCGAAGCCCAAGAGAGCGAACCACTACATATGTTCCGGACATAGCGGGGAGCGTTGTTACTTGATCCGCTTGCTATGTTTGCTGATGGCTGCTGTGGTATGCATCCAAATGCTGGTGCTTGGTGCGTTTGTCACTACTGAAGGGGCCCCAAGACACACAAATACATACACACACATAAAAAGATTCCCCATATTTTCCCATATGTTCTGGGTTTCTGTCTTCCCCCCCACTTCTCATCGTGCTGGTCGCTGATGTCTCCGCTGCACGATGCTGCTTGCAGTCGCTGAGGCCTTTCTTCGCAGCCTCGTGGGGGCATCCTGAGGCCCCTTTGAATCGTCTTGGCGACCTCCTGGCGCTCACCTGCCCCGTGTTGGAATCCTGTTCGAGCCGTCGGAAGAAACACTACGCAAACGATACAGTCGGGGCGTTGACCTAAGGAACCCTAAATAAGGAACGAGGCCCCTTTTTCCCATAAGTTCAACCTCGATTTCCCATGGAAACCTCAGGAAAACCCGAGGCAAACTGTGAAACAATCAAGGAACACGGAGCCCCTCCCCAACGAAAAGGGTTCCGTCTTCAGGGCCCCGTCCGTATGTCCATCGGAGGCCCGACGCTTCTCATCCCAATCCCCCAAAACTCAGAACTATTCACATGAATAGTTCCCCTGCTCTTACAACGAAACGCCCAGGTCATCGGGTACTCGGCCGCCTCTGTTCTCACATCCCACAGCGATGTTCGTCTCGCGCTCCCCGTCAAACGGTGGGTCCGCACTCCCATGGTCACGGTCCCATGTGAGATCTTCTTCGGGCACAGCGTGAGGTGTTTCTGCCGATGGCTGTTCGACACTCAAATTGGAACATGTTGGGTCATGGCAGCCCCGTCGGGGCACCTTAGGCTGCCTGGGTGCGTCTTGGGGCCCACTGGTGGCTTCCATGGGCCGTGCTGGGCCCCAGAGGCTTCCCGGGTCCTCCAGGGGCTCTCTTGCGACCTTCCAGGCGGGGTCCGTTTGGGCCCCGGCAGCGACCGCTCCGCGCCAGAGGGCGACGACACAAGCGCCGATTCGGGGACCATGCTCGTGCCACCTCTCCTCGACTCCCAATCTTCCTGCTGGCCGTCCTCCTCCCGTTTCTGCCGCTTCGGCCATCGCGAGTCGATCTCGCAGGCGGCAGCTGCTTCGCGTGAGTTCGGATGGATCGCTCGATCGAGGCGGCGGCAGCCGCGGCGGCGGCGGCCAGGGCGGCTGCCCTCCTCCTCCTCCTCCTCCTCCTCCTCCTCCTCCTCCACATCCTCCTTCTCCTCCTCCTCCTCCTCCTCCTCCTCCTCCTCCTCCCCCGCTCCTCCTCCTCCTCCCTCCTCCTCCTCCTCCTCCTCCTCATCCTCCTCCTCCTCCTCCTCCTCCTCCTCCTCCTCCTCCTCCTCCTCCCCCTCCCCCCCTCCTCCTCCTCCTCTTCCTCCTCCTCCTCCTCCTCCTTCTCCTTTTCCTCCTCCTCCTCCTCCTCCTCCTCCTCGGGCTCTTCGGGGGTCGGCGGAGGAGCGCAGGCCTCCCGGGCGCCTTCGCCCGCGGACTGGCGCCCGACGGCGCTGGCAGCCACCACGGGGGGGAACAGGCAGAGGCCGAACTGCTGGCCTGGACGCCCGAGGCGGGCGTGGAAGGAGGCGGCACGATGCCCGACGACGAACTTCGGCGGCCGCCCTGGTGCTGGCGATGGTCGGTCTCGAGTGGCCAACGCCCGCGGCGACGCCAGCAGCGAATCAGGCCCAAAACGGCCGGGAACTGCTGTCGCTCGTCGTCCCTGTTCCTCCCGTGCCTGCTTCGGCAGTGCCGAGCTGGGCAGGCGAGCCGCCGAGGAAAAACACGCCTGGGCGACGGGCTCCCAGGGGACGGTGGCTTGGAGGAAGAAACAACTGCATCAGCACGAACGTCCGCAGATCCGAACGGATTCTGCTCCTCTTCCTCCTCCTCCTCCTCCTCCTCCTCTTCCTCCTCCTCCTCCTCCTCCTTCTCCGCCAAGCCGCTCCTGGCGCGGATCCGAGAAATCCGCGCGGAGCTCCGAAAGCTTGTTCACGCAGGTGCTTCCTCTTCGAGGGGCGGCTGCCTCAGCTGAGGTCGGGCAGCCTCAGCTTGGCCACCCGCACGGGCCCGCGCGGGATCGGGAGGTCCGTGACCTTGTCCGCCACGACGTCGGCTCCCGCCGCGAACAACGCCTCCGCGGAGTCCGCGCCGCTGAGCACGCCGACGACCAGGCCGCAGCCCGCGTTGCGGCCCTCCTCGATGTCGCGGACGGAGTCGCCCACCTTGCACACGCGTCGGGTGCTCTCGACGACACAAGAAGAAGAGACGGCATAGGCATAAACTCTTGCCATCGCTCGGCAGGCGATTCTCTGTGCACGTTCGGCTTCGTGCATCTACTGTTTCGCCATCTGCTCCAATACGCTCATCGAGGGTCCTCCCGGGGAGAACACTCACGCGTGCGAGCGATGCCAAGAGGCAGAGGCCTCGCCATCGCTTGGACGTCCATTCCCTGTGTTTTTTTTGGTTTCGTGCGTGGTTTTCTTCGCCAAATGATCAAGGATGCTCCTCGATGGCGCTCGCCCAAGGAAAAATGCACGCGTCCGAGCCATGCCAAGACGCGGAGGCACAAGCTGTCAGAGGCCCGCGCGGAGTTCTTGGATCGGCGCTGGGGCCCCCCTCTGGCCGCGCCTCCGGCCCGGCGCGCCACTGTGCGCCGGGGGAGGGGGGCTCCGCGGAGGCCCAGGAAGTAAGCGCGGGCCTCCTAGTTAGGAGGCCAGGAGGCGACATCCGGACCCCCACCCCCAACCAGCGATTCGCCGGAAGCGATGGGAGGCCGAGAGATGGGTGGGATATCGCCACGTGTTCGACGAACTCCGATCCCTACACTTCTGCCCAGCGAGTTGCCCGAATCGTTGATCGGCGAGTAGGGTTCGGATGACGCATCCGACCTCCGAAACTTTATGCTATGCCGATGTTTCGTCTTGCAAATGTGCAACCTCTCCATGAGCCTGTGGATCATGTACGGGTACGGGCGCCCCTCCGGCACGTCGTAGGAGGATATCCAGCCGTCCACCACCTTGTCGAACCCCAGGCGTTTGACCAGGCCCTCCTGGATGTTCTGCGGGTACCCAGTGTCAAGGGCTATCTTTACCCCTGCCTTCTTGAGGTCTTTGAAGTAACTGAAGAGGCTCGTGTCGATGTGCTCGATCGTGGTCGCTTCGCTGAAGTAGGACTCCTCGATCGACTTGACAAACGCGTCCCCTATCATGTTGATCCTGTCGGCGGCGAGCCCAGGGAGGAACACTTCTTAGAAGGCGCGAGAGCTTCCGAGAAGCCCGGCCACCTTCTGAGCAGGCCTCCTCTCCCCTTGATGGGCCTGTTTTCCACCACCACCACCACCACCATGGGTAGGAGAGGGGGGTGGGGTCCTCCTCCTCCACCTCCTCCTCTTCCTCCTCCTCCTCTTCCCCCTTTCCCCCTCCAACTCATGGTGGTGGTAGTGGTGGAACTCGGGCCCATCACCCCTCTCCGTTCCCCCCCCAGACGCCGCCGATCCTACTCTCCAGCTCGTGTTCGGGCGTGCCCGCCTGCCGCGCGAAGTGCTCGATCACGGCCTCCTTCTTGGCCCCGTGCCACGGCCCGATCGCCTCGTCGGACACGTCCAGGCCGTACTCCTTCATGGAGAGCTGCAGCGTCTTGTACACCAGCCCCCCCTCCTAGGGGGCCACACGCGAACCCTGCCCCTGCCCCCCACGATTTCTGAGAGGGAGGGTGGGGTTCACTTCGCTCCCCCTCAGAAATCGTGGGGGGCAAGGGTAGGGTTCGCACGTGGCCCCCTGCCCTCCTGCACGGTGGTGCCCGCCATGTCGCACACCATGAGGTCGATGTTCTCCAGCACGCCCCGCGTCACCTTCGCCGTCATGCGGTCCGAGAGCAGGATCGGCGACTCCGCGCCCCGCGGGCGCACGGAGACCCCGCCGAGGCCCCGGCGGGGGGGCGGCGCGACGATCCTCCAGGCAGCTCGGAGGACAGTTGTTCAGAGAGGCGGTTCGGAGAAGGGCGGAGGAGGAGGACGAAGAAAGGATGAGGAGGAGGAGGAGGAGGAAGAAGGAGGAGGAAAAAGGAGGAGGAGGAGGAAGAGGAAGGAGGAGGAGGAGGAGGAGGAAGATGAGGAGGAGGAGGAGGCGGGCGTCTTCTTATTCGGCGTTTCGACATTGGGCGGAAACGGGAGGACGGGGGGGTCTGGCTCCAGACCTCTGCTGGCTCCATACCTCTGCTTAATGCGACTGTTTGCAAGCAGCAGACCCCACTTGCCCGAAGAAGGCGCCCAAACACACACAAGATCTACTCCATGGGGGGGGGGGATGCAAGGGCCCGCGCCGATCGGCACAGGAATGAATCAGAAACGATCACAAGGCAAGTAGTCGGCCCGCATCACAAAAATGCGGGGTAAGGATGCAAGGGCCTTGAGCACCCACTTCGAAACCAAGGATGGGCCGAGAAGGGAAGGATGCAGGATACCCTCGGGAAGGTGGCCCATCTTTACTATGCGGGTTGGCTGTATTCCATCTCAGTCAGTATAACCTGCCGATGGGACGTCAACGTGACTGGTTCCATCCTACCTGATAGAGGGCGCGCTAACTCGACCTGCCTTCTTTCCACGTGGCATGTTTGTCGTCCACGTCGCACAATGCGTGGAAGTACTGTGGGCGGGGCGCACATATCGCGCGAAAAAAAACAATGTCGCTCTCGTTCGGGCGCCGCGTTCATTTTTCCCTGTTACCCGCTTCGGCGCGGGCGTAGGCGCCGCGAAGATTTGGCCTGAGAGTGGCGCTACTGTCTCGGCGGGGCGCATAAGTGTCACTCGCCAGTGTCGGGGAGCCCGCACGAGTGGGCCAGTTGCCGTGCTGCTTTGGTTTAGAAAGAGCGCTCCCACGTGGGAGCGGCGTGTGTTCCACTCGCCGAATCGTATAAAAGAACGGCGGCGGGGCCGAGCGGGAGCGGGCGAAATGCGGCCTTCGCCAAAACGTTGCGCAGCTCGCGCGTGAAAGTGGCACAGCTGGACCGGCGCGGCGCATGCTACGTCTTCGCCGCGTGCATCGGAAATTTGGACCGACTGCGAGCGCCTTCCGTTCGCTAGGTAAGAACGCGTGTTCTAGACCTGATATCAAGTTGTGGCAATATTGGTGATTGCGTGTGGGCAGGAGGGTGGGAATTGGCGGGGCCCGTTGCCTTGTCAACCGGGCCAGCAGGGGGGGGGGGACCCGTCCAGCGCCGAATCTGCGCCGATAGCCTTCTCGGGCTCTGGGGCGGGTTCCTGAAGTCCCGTCGGGCCTCTCCCGGGGCCCTCCCGCGGCTTTCGCGGGGTCGCTTTGGGGCCTCGAAGGCCGATCGGCAAGTGCAAAACGTCACCGGAAGAGTAACACAAACACCAGCACAAAAAAAATAAGCCGAAGTTTGGGCCACTCCGCGCGGAGTTTTTGGATCTGCACTGGGCCTCCCTCCCTGGCGCGTCGCGCGCGCCAGAGACGGCGCCGGAGGCGCCGGCCGGGGGGGGCCAGCGCAGATCTTCCCTCTTCGGGCGGTGTTCGCCTGTTCGCCCGCTCGAACACTGCATTTGTTTAGGCAAAGGTGTCCTTATTCGAGGACATCCAGAAGGGAGCCCCGTGGTCGCCTCGGGCCGTCGCGTGGCGGTCTCGAGTTTTTTGTTGGATGCCCGGCGGAAAACTCGTTGCACCGCGCGTTGGGTCATCACGTGCCCCCCACTGGAAACAAACATGCCCTCCTATCCTGTCTTCCGGGCGAGAGTGGCGTCATGATAAGACCCTGTGGGGCACGCCCTCCCTCGGGCGATTTTGGAAAGATATATTGAACGTGATAGAATAATAATTGTTCGATGATGGTAGAAACACCGTTAGAAATATGCTGGTGATACTCCGACGCTACTTTGAAAGAGCCACGACCCGTGTTTGAGGATCGCCTTGTTCTCGCAAGTTCCCCCTCTGGGTGTTTCAGCGCGCGTGCAATACACGCCGCCCCGCGCGCCATACAGAGGGAACGCCTTTTCAACGCCCCTCGAATTATGGCCGCATTTATTGCGCTAGGAGAAAGCCGATGCACATTCAACGGCTTCGCGTTCGCGCGAGAGCGAATCGACCCTGCCGCGCAGACAGCCGACTCCACGAGGTTCGCCGCCGCTGGGCGCACCTCGAAGACAAACGACAGACGCAACGAGCGCCTCGGGGACGCGAGGGGGGCCACCAAAAAACAGCCAACCCAAACGTGTAGATGCTTGAAAGGCAACCGCTGATCGCAACGCGCGCAGACGGCAAACGAGAAGCGCCGCCAAATAAAAAGACGGGTCCGCGGGGGCTTGCGCAACGCCACAAGCTCGTCCTTTCATCGATCGGTCGATCGATAAAATTTCCGATCGACCGATCGACCGGCCCTCCTCCCCCGCGTCCTCTTCCTCCTCCTCCCCCGTCCCAAATCCTAAACGCTCGTCGCTAAAAACGTGGGCGGATGCGCGGGAAAACTGGATCAAAAAATGGATGCACACATCTAGACCTTTTTCCGCATCTGGGAGCTTCGCGCGTTGGTCGCATCGCATGTTTGATGTGCGCGCGCGCGTTGAAAGCCAGTCCCCCGGCGGGGTCGGGCACGCAGCAAGAGGCCGCAACACTTCTGTGGCGCGGAACAACGCGCGCCCGGAAACACGCCGGCACGCTGTTCAGCCCCCGAGGGCACCGCGCCAACAGTGCGCGTTGCGCGTTTGGCAACCCTGACGCAGGGCATCTGAACCGCTAGCGAGCCCACTGCGCCCCGCGCCGGCGCGATCTCGGGCGAAGGGGGGGGGGGCATTATGACGCGCTCTCGAGGAAAAACCACGGGGCCAATCTCAAGGCAGTGCTTCCCGGAGAACGCGCGGGGGCATTTCCCGGAGGACTCGGAGCTGGCGAAGGTGGTGGCGCACCGCGTCCTGGGATGTTTGGGTGTCTCGCAAAATGGTCGGCGCGCGTCTCCCGCGGCAGTTTGAGATCCCACTGCGGGGGCATGTCCGGAGCGCTCTGAAATTGATCGCGCGGATGACAGGGAGTATCTTTGGAGTCGTCTCGCAATCCGCAAGATGCACTGGCGCATCTCTGGGGCGCGTCAAAAAAACGCAAAAATTGCACTGGAACGTCCTTGGAGCATTTGGAACTGTCGCACACGGTCGCAAATTGCGTTGGAGAAGAGCCGGAATATGTTTGGATAAGTTTGGACTGTTCCCAACCCTCCTTGGTTTGGTATTCGTTTTGAATAGAGCACTGCGGTCGCGTCCCTCCTTCTCCTCCCGCCACCCGCCTCCTCCTGCCCTCTCTTCGCCGACGATGGGGGCTGCGATCTGCGAAACTGTCGCCACTTTCGAGGGCTGCTGGTGGGTCCAGCGGAGTGAGGCACCGCGCGGATCAGAGCGGGACCTCGTCGTCCCTGGGGGGCTGCGATCTGCGAAACTGTCGCCACTTTCGAGGGCTGCTGGTGGGTCCAGCGGAATGAGGCACCGCGCGGATCAGAGCAGGACCTCGCCGTCCATGGGGGGCTGCGATCTGCGAAACTGGTTCCACTTTCGAGGGCTGCTGGTGGGTCCAGCGGAGTGAGGCACCGCGCGGATCAGAGCGGGAACTCGCCGTCCCTGGGGGGCTGCGGTCTGCGACGCTGTCGCCACTTTCGGTGGCTGCTGGTGGGTCCAGCGGAGTGAGGCACCGCGCGGATCAGAGCGGGACCTCGTCGTTCCTGGGGGGCTGCGATCTGCGAAACTGACGCCACTTTCGGCGGCTGCTGGTGGGTCCAGCGGAGTGAGGCACCGCGCGGATCAGAGCGGGACCTCGCCGTCCATGGGGGGCTGCGATCTGCGAAACTGTCGCCATGCTGGTGGGTCCAGCGGAATGAGGCACCGCGCGGATCAGAGCAGGACCTCGCCGTCCCTGGGGGGCTGCGATCTGCGACACCGTCACCACTTTCGAGGGCTGCTGGTGGGTCCAGCGGAGTGAGGCACCGCGCGGATCAGAGCGGGACCTCGCCGTCCCCGCGGGGTTGCGATCTGCGACGCTGTTGCCACTTTCGAGGGCTGCTGGTGGGTCCAACGGAGTGAGGCACCGCGCGGATCAGAGCGGGACCTCGCCGTCCCTGGGGGGCTGCGATCTGCGAAACTGGTTCCACTTTCGAGGGCTGCTGGTGGGTCCAGCGGACTAAGGCGCCGCGCAGATCTGAGCGGGACCTCGCCGTCCCTGGGGGGCTGCGATCTGCGACGCCGTCGCCACTTTCGAAGGTTGCCAGTGGGTCCAGCGGAGTGATCTGAGGCACCGCGCGGATCAGAGCGGGACCTCGCCGTCCCTGCGGGGCTGCGATCTGTGAAACTGTCGCCACTTTCGAGGGATGCTGGTGGGTCCAGCGGGGTGAGGCACCGCGCAAATCTGAGTGGGACCTCGCCGTCCCTGGGGGGTTGCGATCTGCGACGCTGTCGCCACTTTCGGCGGCTGCTGGTGGGTCCAGCGGAGTGAGGCACTGAGGCACCGCGCAGATGTGAGCGGGACCTCGCCGCCCCTGGGGGGCTGCGATCTGCGACGTTGTCGCAACTTTCGAGGGCTGCTGGTGGGTCCAGCGGAATGATCTGGGGCACCGCGCAGACCGCAGCGGGACCTCGCCGTCCATGGGGGGCTGCGGTCTGCGAGAGTGACGCCACTTTCGAGGGCTGCCGGTGGGTCCAGCGGAATGAGGCAATGAGGCACCGCGCGGATCAGAGCGGGACCTCGCCGTCCCTGGGGGGCTGCGATTTGCGAAACTGACGCCACTTTCGGCGGCTGCTGGTGGGTCCAGCGGGGTGAGGCACCGCGCGGATCAGAGCGGGACCTCGCCGTCCATGGGGGGCTGCGATCTGCGAAA